GGACCAGCAGGGTGGCGTCTCCCCGCACCGCGTCGCGCGTCGCAGAGGCCTCTCCCCTTGCCGCTGTGCCGCTGTGCCGCGCGGCCGGGGCGGAGGCGCGGTGCGTCCTGCCCGCGTTATCGAACTGCAGCCACTGGGCCGAGGGCGCCGAGGGCGGCGAGGGCGGCGAGGGCCCGGCGTGGCTCACTGGCGCACCGAGGCGCGGAGAAGGGGGTGGGGGTGGGCTCGGCGGCGGGGGGCTGCGGCTACACGGGGTGGGCCAGGGCGGGCCAGCTGGGATGCTGAGGACGCATAGCGCCGCCCCACCCCCTTTCACCCTCCTAGTTCCCTTCCCGCCCCGCCCAAGACCCAGCAGGGCCCCGGCAGGGCCGCGGCAGGGCCAGCGGGGCCTGACAAGCAGCCCGGCTGCGGGGCTGCGGGGCCCAGCGGGCCAGCTCCCGGCCGGTGACCGACTGTACCCGCATAGCGCCCCCGCAGCCCCCTCTCCCTCCCCAAAGGCTGGGGGGCGCCGAGGCGGAGCGGGGCGGCCCCACATGCAAAAAGGGGTGCTCCCCGGGAGGTAATTTCGACCACCAGCCGACGTCGACGTCGGGGCCCCTCTGTTTTTCTGCCTCCGCCACGCCACTGGCGCCACTGGCCCCGTCACCAATAAAGGCACTCCAACCTGACGTGCTTCCTTTCCTCTCCTCCAGCAGCGCGGCGCGCCACGCCCTCGAAAAAGTTCAGCCCCCGCCTCGCCCCGCGATGGCATCGGGCAGGGGCCCAGGGGGTGGCGGGTGATTAGTGGGGAATGTGTGGGGCTCCGGCAGAGGGAGAGGGAGAGACAGAGGGGCCGAATTGGCCATTCCCTTCGCGACGCCGCGACGGAGCAACAGAGCGGAAAACGCGCAGACAATGATTAAGGGCACGCCCCTCGCTAATTACGCGGTCCAACAGGGCGGCGGACTGATTCCGAGGGTCGTTTTCGTCGCTCTGTCTCTCTCGCACTCGTGGGGCGTCCCCTACAGGTGCGAGAGAGACAGAGCGAGACGCCCGTAGCGGCCTTTGGCGCCTTTGGCCCTTAGCGCGGCATAATCGCCTCGCCGTGTTAACCAGTGCGCACGACAAGCCACTCCAAGCGCCGACAAGCCGTCTCTGTTTTTATGGATCCACCGGCGAGAGAGCGAGGGAGAGAGAGGGAGAGTGCGGCGGCTCCATTGCGAGTCGAGATTGGACTCGGCCAAGTTTCCCAGAGCGTTCGTCTCGTTCTCCGCGGCCAGGCACCGGGGATGAGCGCCGCGCCGACAGGGGGCGGAGGGGCGGCGGGGTGGACGACACGCACAAACTGATTGCGAGAACAGGCGGAGAAGAAAAGACGAAAACAAAAACAAGGTAAGGCAGGGCGGCCCGCGGACCGTAGGGGTTGCGAGAGAGACAGTGTAGTGACGAAGCCGCTGGCTGTTCGCCGGTCCTCCAGAAACAGTCCCACCACTACGGAGGGGTGGGGGGTTCGCCACGGCATGTGACTCAGGGCCGCGGCCGCGGCGCGGGCTGCCTATACCTGAGTCACCTCATGACCCCCGTGAGTCAGCTCGGCGCAATCGACGTCCCGGGGGACGCATTTCGCGCACCGCCGCGCACCGCGGCACCGCGTGCAGCTCGCCGAGGTCGTCCGCCAGCACGACGAACCAGAGCGACGAACAGCGACGCACCGCGGAGCGCAAAAAGGGCGCCCGCCCGTGCCTCTCGGAGCGACGCGCCGGCGCCGCACCCCGTCGTGGCGAGGCGTGACCGGGCGCCGCACACACACAGCAACTCACACGGACGCGCGGCGCTGCAGGGCCTACACTTGTGCCCCTCTGTGTGCCTCCACAGGCAGTTTGGGCACGCGCGGACCGGACCGGACCCTCCGCCGCGCTGACCAGCCGCCAGCCACGCCCCGCCAAACCACCCCGCGGGGAGGCGCTCACACACACACACGCGCGCACACACACACACACACACACACACACACACACAGCGGCGCCTGCCCGCCTCCGAGTTGGCGCTACACTGTGTGTGAGCCGCTCGGTTAAATCTAGAGACCCACGAAAAACGTCAAAGTTCCTTTTGGGAAAACCCACGAGATTTTCTGGCTTTCCCCGGAAAGTTTTTGACGTCGTGCAGAGTCCAGATTTGCCGCCGCAGAGGCGCAAGAGCCGCTCGTGTGCGAGTGCGTTAGCGCGTTGCTACTTTAGGGCGGCTATGCCTGGCAATGCCTTCCAGGCTTGGCGCGGCTTGGCGACCGGTTGGCATAGAAAGCGGATGGGATGGGACTCCATACGAGTGCCACCTGCGAGGCACTGCGAGGCACACACGGGGCTTTCCTCCACCACGCGCCGGGAGTACGCGAGAAGGAGAGAGGGGGGAGGGAGAGAGGGAGGGACCTCTCCGAAGTTTATTGCTTCTTGACCTGACACCCGCAGACACGCGCGCGCTCGCACCAGAAGCAAACAATCCATAACAATTCGACTCCCCGCGGAGTGGGGAAAAAAGCAGCAGACGAAAACAAAAACATGCACTTTCTGCTCGCTGAAAAAAAACAACAAGAACAAAACAAGGAAAAATGGCGAGGGCTGTACACCGAGAAGGGTGGGGCAGGGATATAGTTTCCGCGCGCGGAGATCCTGCAGGCGGCGATAACGCAGTCAAGGGGGCGGGGCGGGGCGGGGCGGGCGGGGCGAGGCGGGGCGGGGCGGGGCGGGGCGGGGCGGGGGCACGGGGACGCGACCCTCCCCGAAACGGGCGTTATTTTCTAATCTGCATAATGCCCTTCGCATTCCGGCTAGAGTAGAGCGGCCGTCCTCCTCGCCGAGGACGCCGAGGACCCCAAGGCCGCGGAGCGCGTCGCAGTGTCGTACCCGCCCCGCTACTCCCAGAGGCGGACAGACGTATTTAATTCACAAGAAAGCACGGCGCGACACACTGCCAAGCAACAAAAACCAAAGCGGGCCGTGACGTGTGCAGGCTCCTCGGTGCATTGCTGCATGCGGCCCTGCAGCCCTGCAGCCTGTCCCGTCGCGTGTTTCAGGAATGAATGGCCGCGCACTCCTCTCCGGACGCTCCGGGATGTCAGGGAAAAGGACGACGCAAAACAATAAGGCATGCGATGCCGGCCGGCCCCGCCGGCAGACCGATTCCGAGAGTCGTTTTCGTCGCTCTGTCTCTCTCGCACCTGTCCGGGACGCCCCTAGAGTGCGAGAGAGACGGAGCGACGAAGGCGACTCTCGGAATGGGTCTGCGGGCTGCCGAGAGGACGGCCGCTCGCCGCTCCTCTTTTTCCGGCCCAGTGGTCACCGCTCGACTCGCGAGGCGGCAAAGCAGGCAAAGCCAGGCGAGGCGAAGCCGCGGGCGGTGGCCGCGGTGGCCGCAGAGGCCGCAATGCAGGCGGTGGTGCGGCGGCCGGCTCCTCCTCCAATTCACTTCTTTCCCGTCGCGTCCCCCGATCCCCCATCCCATTCCCATTACTGCCTGCACTGCCTGCACTGCGTGCTGCGTGCTGCGCGCCATGTCTCCTGCGGGACCCCGCCGGCCCCGTCCCCGCCGGCCCCGGCCCGTCCCCGCGGCAGCAAGCTTCTGCCGCTTCCTGTGCACTGCGCCGCGGACAGCGCGGAGCGCGACTCGCCCTGTCTCTCTCGCACCCCTCCGGGACGCCCAACGAGTGCGAGGGAGACAGACTCACGCTCGGAATCAGACTCCACAGAGGACGCCGCAGGGAGAGGAGACGGGTAAAGGAGGAGTTGGGGAAGGGGAGGGGGGAGAATGAAATAAAATAAGGCGACAAGAGCCTCGCGCCGAGACGGCCGAGAGCGAAAAGAGCCAAAACAAAAGACTGACCAGCCGGGCGTGATAAAGGGGCGAACTCTTGACCCTCCTGGCAAGTGCCTCATGGTGCACATGCTTTGGGGGAAGTCTTGTCCAGCATCCTTCCTTCAATACGAGTTGGAGTTCTACAGTAGACAATATGTTTTAATGTAGATTTATCAGAGAGATGATGTTTTTCTATATTTACCTGTTACAAAAAGAGAACAAAATTTTGGATTTTTGTTTATCTTTGCCATTTTGTTTTTGTTTTCCTGGCCTTTATATTAGTATACCCTAAATTTACTCATGGAAATTTTAAAGTCAAATCCATGAGTGAAGTAAACAGCACACTATCGGTATGAAAAGGTAGAAAATTGTGCTTGGACCAGAATTAAATAACTTATTGCTGTGCCACAACTGGCAGTATCACTTAAAAAAAATTATGAGACATGATACCAGGGAGACATCAAGAACGTGTGAATTTAGTAAACCAAAGTCAAGATTGAAACATTCCCGCTGCATGAATTAAAGCGCATTACATTCACTTGACATTTACCATTGACGCAGTTGAAACCAATTTTTAACCTGTAAACTTTATCTACATTATTACATTTACAACACGATATGAAGCTCAAACTCCTATGTTAAACAAAACTAAGAGAGCTTTCCCTGTGTTCTAATGAATTGAATAATGTGTGCACTGCAGTGTGACAGCAGATGTGAACACTTTGATGCTACCACAAGATAACATACATAACCTAACATATGAATACTTCAGGTCAATTTAAGAACCCCAAGCATTTCTATTACGAGAAAATAGGACGTAGATTGGGAGACGCGTAATCTTGCACAAGTGGGCTCGGATAAGAGCCAGAAAAACCAGAAAACTCAGATCTGAAGCCTTTGTTAGCGCGGACAGACAGTGCCAAATGATAAACAAATAAGCAGAAGGAAATCGAAACCGGCGCTTTTGAGGCGATCGCCGAGCAGAAACCTGAGAAAATAAATAAGGGTGGCGCGGCCAGTGCGGGGGCACTGCCGGCGGCGAGGACGGGGGCCGCGGAGGACACCGCGGGACATCCCTGGGTCGCTTGGTGCGCTGGGCCCGGAGGCGAAGGACCTGGACTTGGACATCTTCGTCGCGTCGTGACGGTCCGAGGCTGCTGTGCTGTCCTCACCTATGTGTCGGGGTTCATGGCGACCGCGGGGCGCGCAGAGTCTCGGCAGGGGTGTCACAGGGGCCGGCGCAGCGGAGCCATCGGCGAGAAGGAAGGTATCCAACGTAAATTGCACGAAACAGGGGGAAATAGACACAACAAAACGCCAATCCCACAGACAGGGACAGACAGGAGCGGAGCGACCGCACCAACACACATCCGCTTCCACCGCCTTGCGGGACGCCACTGCCGCGCGGCGCGCTGCGACCCCGCCTCCCCCCAACCCCCGGCCCCTGGTCCCGCCCCTCTCCGCGCCGCCGCTTCCCGCCTCACCGCCAGCCTTCAGCTCCAGCCGTTTGTCCCTTTCTTTGTGTTTTAGCTCCGAATCCCATCCAAGTTTCTATCAATTTGACTGCGATTCCGCAACCGTGATTTCTACCTCACGCACACTGTAAGTACCGAGGAAATGCGTAAAGAAAGTGTGACGCGGGAGCCGCGGCGGGCCTGGCTGTGAGGCTAGGCAGCCGCCGTCCACTGTGGTATGAGAAACTCATCTTCCCGCGCGGCGCGACGAGGCGGGGCGTTTGAATGCTGCGGGTGGCGAGCCATGGCCGGATGGCATTTAGTTGCCGGTACGCTGCAGTCCAGCTGCAGTCTCACTTCACAGAGGGTTGGTTGGACGACGGGAGAACATTGAGGCGGACAAGATTTAACTCATCATAAGGACATTTATTAATTAAAAATCACAGTCTACCGTAACAAACTCTTTTTCAAATCTAGGGACAATGTCAACAATTATTGTGAATCGATTATTCTGGAGGAAACTTGATGAAGACCATATGTGGAAGACACAAACAGCCGAAAAGAAACCTGACAAAAATAAACCTAACATCGCATCTGAATGGCCTTCTATCTTCATCACATGCCACCGCGCCTACGACAGGAATTCCCCTGGATATGTTAGCTGCGAATGACTTTAACATAGAGAGGGAAACTATCCTTCGGTCTCTTTATTCAACAAACGAGACACTTGCCGCGTTCGGTTCGAGCCGAAAAAAAAAATGCAGCAATTTTTAACCGCACAAACTCGACACGATGGGTGAAGCTTTTTCTGAAACTAACGACGGGTTTTCACTCCCACAGAATCAGGCACGTTTAAAACTGGCGTTAATTGCCATTTTTTTTTTTTTTTAAAAAAAAGAAACATCTTTGAGCACGTACAGAAAGTTTTGGAATGGAGTGTAGTTAATTCCAGGGCGTCACTACATAAACGAGAAATCCACTTCTCATATGCAATCTTTTTAGAACAACGAACTTGAAATGACCAAGTGATGCGATCATTCGCTTCGCGGCGTCGCTGCCCTGGCCACCGCTAGAGCGCGCTAGAGAGGAAAGGCAGCACCACTCGGCGGGGGCACTTCCCTACACGCCTCTTCGCCGCGGCCGGCCACGGCAATACAAAATCATAGAGCTCTTTAAAACCCCACAAGCAGTCACACATTGTAACAATCAAATTGGTTTCTTAAAAAAACCATTTCTAACATAAATTATATAATGGCAATTTTCAAAAGTTATCCCAAATAATTAACAATTTTTTGCTAGACGCAATTGGAACGCATTATTACGACAACAACAAGGCTTTATTCGGCACGACCCCCTACGGGGCCGTTCACTCATTACGTAACGCTTTTCCCCCATAGCTCTGTCCTTGTTGCTCCTTTACGGACTGCCAGTGAGTGCGAGAGAGACAGAAGACGTTACGTAATAGGTGAACGAACCCTAATAGCAGCTGCCCTTGAATGACAGGCTGGCTTGGGGCATCTTGATTGGGCGAGACACCCTGTCGAGCGATGCCGCCGCCCGCACTCCTCGCTGTCTCTCTCCCACTCATGGAGTGTGCCGTAGGGGTGCGAGAGAGACAGAGCGATGAGTGCGGCCGGCGGAATCACTGGACAGCACTTTTTCCAGGCACGCTTCTCGAGGCATTCCACAACGCGGCCCAATGCGACACTCTGAGCCCGCACAACCTACATTAATTATTGTTCACCGTTTCGACACAATCGCGTTGAAATCCGCAAGGCCCTGGCCCTTCCCCTCCCCTCCAGACAGGCTGGACGTGCTTTGGGGACCCCCCGAGAAGAGCAGCAGCAAGTTGCCGTTCGCAGCACGCACGCACGGTTTACACAACAAACCAATTTTATTACAGTTTTTTTTTGTCTATTTTCTTAACACAACAATTATTTTAGCGCAGTTCAAAAAGGCACTACAAACAACAACAATAACAACACAGTTCGCCTTTCACAAGGCAAAATAATATCAATTCCTCAGCGAAGCCGTGCGCGCCCGGGACGAGTCCAGCGTGCAGACGGTGCAGACCCTCTCGCTGGCGGCGGGGCGCGCGTCGTCGGGGACGTCGGGGCGCGTCGCGCGGCCACACGGCGGCAGCGCCGGCGGCGTCCGGGGCCAGCACCGCGCGGACGTGGTCGTGGTCGTCCTGGTCCTCACCGCCGTGCCGCGGCCCCCAGGCAAGCCCCAGGACGGCGACGGCGGTGACGGCAGCGACGACGGCGAGGTGCGGGTCCCGGACGCGTGGCGGGCTGCGCCCATGGCTGCGTCACGACCCGTGCCCGTCGCTGGTGAGGTTCAACAGGAACGTGCTGTTTAGCCTCCTCATGTGCTCCTCGTTCTGCTTGCGAACTGCAACAAGAAAGCAGACTCGTCAACAAGGCGGCCCGGGGCGGCCCCCAGCGGATGCTGCTTCTTTCATGAGTTGTGCGGAGGCGGTGCGGGGCGGCGCGGGGCCGGCCCCACGCGTTTCATTTTGGGGCTTATGCTGCTTCCACCCTGCCCTGCCCTGCCCTGCCCTGCCCTGCCCTGAGCTGCTGGCCCGGCTGCGTGTGAATATTGCACGAGGGAGGGTTGCTACTGCTGGAGGCAGGAGAAGGCGGCACCGCCGCGATACCCCGCGCCGGGCCACCAGGGCTGCGGCGCTGCGGCGCGGAGTATCGCCAGCGAGGACGTCATCGCGTGGGGTATTCTCCCTCTCGACGCCCACGCCCGGATTGGCGACGCGACGAGGTGTCGGGTGTCGGCGTTGTTCGCCGCGCACCGCCACTGTGCGTCACTGGATCCTGGTCCTGGCCCTGGCGCTGCAGTCCTTGCCCGACTTCCACCTTCCCGTGCCTCCGCCTCTACCCGGACGCCAGGGTGAGTGCGAGGGAGACAGAACGACGGACACTCCTTGCGCGTGAAACACAAGGGGGCCCTGAAGATCGTCACTGTTGCTGGATCTGCAGCCCGCAGGCCGGCAGGAAGAGTGGTGCCAGGATGTACGGCCTCGGTGTCGGCTTGCAGCGCCCTCTCCCCTTCCATTCGGACAGCCAGCAAGGCAGCCGGCACGGCAGCCAGCACGGCGGAATGCACTAAACGGGGAGCCGCGTGCAGGAAGGGCGGCCATGGCCCGGTGCCGTCCCGCCGAGTCCAGGGTCCAGCAGTCCGGTACTTCAAGGTTGTTGAGCACGGAGGCGGCCAGGGTAGCCAGCATGCCGGCCAGCGGGGCCTTGGCAAGCAGTCCGGCCGCCGCAGCGCACCGCAGCACAAGATGGAACATCCATTAGGACACAGAGTCGCCCCGTCTCTCTCGCACTCACGGGGCGTCCCGTGAGCGCGCGAGAGAGGCAGAGCAGCGGAGCCACGGCGAGGCGGGCTGGTTGCGGACCTCAGTCCCCCCCCCCTCCCCCGCGGCCAAAAGCCCGCGCATCGACGGGCCGCGGAAATTATAGACAAAAGTTGTCTAGTAATTGCGCCTGCCCCGTGTCCGCTTGCCTTGCTTTCCTCACCGAAAGCGCAACTAATTTATCCCCGGGGCTCCGCAAAAGTAGTTATATAGAAGACTGTTTGGAAACTACCTCCCAGCCCCCCTCCCTGTTTTCTTCGCCACTTTCAGATGAGCAGCCTTAGCTTTATGGGCGGGGCAGAGCGGGGCGGGGCGGGCGGCCTCCCGCGCGCGCCGTCGCCGCCCTAACTTCTAGTCGATTCATATTTTCTTTCCGGAAGTTTGGCAAGGCCAGGCACGGCCAGGCACGGCCAGGCACGGCCAGGCACGGCCAGGCACGGCCAGGCACGGCCAGGCACGGCCAGGCACGGCCAGGCACGGCCAGGCACGGCCAGGCACGGCCAGGCACGGCCAGGCACGGCCAGGCACGGCCAGGCACGGCCAGGCACGGCCAGGCACGGCCAGGCACGGCCAGGCACGGCCAGGCACGGCCAGGCACGGCCAGGCACGGCCAGGCACGGCCAGGCACGGCCAGGCACGGCCAGGCACGGCCAGGCACGGCCAGGCACGGCCAGGCACGGCCAGGCACGGCCAGGCACGGCCAGGCACGGCCAGGCACGGCCAGGCACGGCCAGGCACGGCCAGGCACGGCCAGGCACGGCCAGGCACGGCCAGGCACGGCCAGGCACGGCCAGGCACGGCCAGGCACGGCCAGGCACGGCCAGGCACGGCCAGGCACGGCCAGGCACGGCCAGGCACGGCCAGGCACGGCCAGGCACGGCACAGGCACGGCCAGGCACGGCCAGGCACGGCCAGGCACGGCCAGGCACGGCCAGGCACGGCCAGGCACGGCCAGGCACGGCCAGGCACGGCCAGGCACGGCCAGGCCGGAGGCACGGCCAGGCACGGCCAGGCACGGCCAGGCACGGCCAGGCACGGCCAGGCACGGCCAGGCACGGCCAGGCACGGGCCGGCAGGCACGGCCAGGCACGGCCAGGCACGGCCAGGCACGGCCAGGCACGGCCAGGCAGGGCCCAGGCACGGCCAGGCACGGCCAGGCACGGCCAGGCACGGCAGGCACGGCCAGGCACGGCCAGGCCGCAGCACGGCCAGGCACGGCCAGGCACGGCCAGGCACGGCCAGGCACGGCCAGGCACGGCCAGGCACGGCCAGGCACGGCCAGGCACGGCCAGGCACGGCCAGGCACGGCCAGGCACGGCCAGGCACGGCAGGCCGGCCAGGCACGGCCAGGCAACGGCCAGGCACGGCCAGGCACGGCCAGGCACGGCCAGGCACGGCCAGGCACGGCCAGGCACGGCCAGGCACGGCCAGGCACGGCCAGGCACGGCCAGGCACGGCCAGGCACGGCAGGCACGGCCAGGCACGGCCAGGCACGGCCAGGCACGGCCAGGCAGGGCCCGGCAGCAGGCACGGCCAGGCACGGCCAGGCACGGCCAGGCAC